TGAACAATTGTACACCAACAAATTAGATAATCAAAATGATATGGACAAATTCCTACAGAGAAAATACTAAAACTGATTCAAGAAGCAATAGAAAATCTGAAGAGATCTATAAGAGATTGAATCAATAATCATAAACTTTCACATAAAGCCCAGGACCAGATGGCTTCATTGGTGAATTCTATTAAATGTTTAAAGAAGAATTAACACTAGTCATTCTCAAAGTCTTCTAAAAAATAGGAAAAGAAACTTTGTAACCCATTCTAGGAGGCCAAAATTACTGATAGCAGAGCCAAAGAAAGACACAAGAATACTATAGAGATCAATATCCCTTATGAAAATAGATGCAAGTCTTCAACAAAATGCCAGCAAACCAAACCCAACAACATATGAAAATGATTATACACCATGATCAAGTGGGATTTATGTCAGGAATGCAAGAGTTGTTCAACATATGAAAACCAATCACTATAATACAGTAGTTCCCCTTTATCCATGGGGAATATGTTCCAAAACCCCCAGTGGACGCCTGAAACCGGATAGTACCGAACCTTATACATATATTATGTTCTTTCCTATACAAACATACCTTTCACTTAAAGGAAGCACTTTATGGCTTCTCTTTGACATATCCAAATTGCTACCATCTCTACTTTTGTGCTTTAGGATCATTATTAAGTAAAATAAGTGTTACTTGAACACAAGCACTGAAATGTCATGACAGTGGATCTCATATCCTTGACAGCTACTAAGTAAATAACAGGCATGTAGTGTACACTGGACAAAGGGATACACTGGACAGAGAGATGATTCATATTCCGGGCAGAAGGGAGTGTGGTGGAAGATTTCATCATGCTACTCAGAAAGGCACACAATTTAAAACTTATGAATTGTTTATTTCTGGAAGTTTCCATTTACCATTTTCAAACTTCGGTTGACTCTAGGTAATTGAAATCATGAAAAGCAAACTGTACACCAATTTAATGCAATGAAGGGGGAAAAAACACATGACCATCTCAATGGATGTAAAAAAAGCATCTGACAAAATGCAACATTCTTTAATGATAGAAACACTCAGAAACTACAAATAGAAGGGAACTTCCTCAACATGATAAAGGGCATTTATAAAATACCAACAGCTAATATCATCCTCAATGGCAAAAGACTGAAATCTTTCCCCCTAAGATGAGGAACAAGACAAGATGCCCGCTTTAGCCACTTTTATTCAACACTGTATTGGAAACTCCAGCCAGAGAAATTAGACAAGAAAAAAAAATAAAACACACCCATATTAGACAGAAAGAAGTAAAACTATCTCTATTCATAGACAACAAAGATGTTATATGTAGAAAATCCTTTAACATCCACAATATATTAGAGTTAGTAAACAAATTCAGCCAACTTGCAGGGGTACATGATTGATATACAAAATTTGTATACTTTAGCAATATAACAATGTGAAAATCAATAAAATTCCATTTACAATAGCATCAAAAAGAAAACACATAGGAATGTATTTAACCAGAGACATGCAAGACTTGTACAGTGAAAAGCATAAAATATTACTAAAATTTGTTAAAAGAACTAAAACAAATGGTTTAAAAACATGGGAAGATATTTTGTGTTCATGGTCTAGAATACTTAATTTTGTTAAAAAATATTTTATTGGGGAATCGGGGAAGGGGTACAGACAAGTCGCTGTCCTTTTGTTCTTCAGTCTAGTTGTGGACGATGTCACTTCACTGACCCATGTTGGTATGATCATTGCACTCTTCCCGGGTGAGGCAGATGGGTCGCCGGCCACTGGACAGCCACTCACAGTGACTCTTGGTGGCTCATGCCAGCTGCCAGCCGCTCACGCTGGCTGCCCGCCACTCATGGTAGCTTTACGGCAGCCCACTGCAGCATACGCCATCACCAGCGACTCACAGCAGCCCAGCTCCAGGTTGAGCTGTTGTTCACCATCTTAGAGGACACAACATCACTGGCCCTAATGTGGGATCTGAACTGGGGCTCTGCTGCTCAGAGCTGGCATCACAAGCCAGCTCTTAACCAATGCACCACTCAGCCAGCCCTAGAAGACTTAATATTGTTAATATGGTAATACTCCCAAAACTCTCTGTAGATTTAATGCAATCCCTATCAAACCCTAATGGCCTTTTTTGCAAAAATGAAAAGCTGATCCTAAAATCCATATGGAATAGCAAGGGACCTGAATAACTAAAACAGTCTTGAAAAAGAAGTGGAAAACTCACACTTTCCAATTTCAAAACTTACTAAAATTCAATAGTAATAAAAACAATATAGCACGGGTATAATGAGTGACATATAAATCAACAGCATAGACTTGACAGAAATAAACTCATAGAACTACAAGTATGGTCAATTGATTTTCAACAAGGATGACAAGACCATTCAATGGGGGAAAGAATACTCTCATCAACAAATGGTGCTGGGACAACTGGATAGCCACGTGCAAAAGAATAAATTTGGACCCTTACTTGATACCATATACAAAAATTAACTCAAATGAGATTAAAGACCTAAATGTAACGAATAAAACTATAAAATTCTTACAAGAAAATACAGGGGCAAATCATCATGAGTTCAGATTTGGTGATGGTTTCTTAGCTATGACACCAAAAGCACAAGCAGCAAAAGAAAAAAGTAGGTTAATTGGACTTCATTAAAATGAAAACTTTTCTGCATCAAGACACTATCAAGTCAGCTATAATTGAAAAATAAAATTTAAAAGACACTATTAAGTGAATGAAAAAACAACCAATACACAGAATAGGAGAAAATATTAGCAAACCATTATATCTGCTTAGGGTCTAGTATACCTTATAAAGAACTCTTATAACTCAACAACATAAAGACAAATCATTTTTTAAATGGCCAAAGGACTTGAATAGATGCTTCTCTCAAGAAAGTGTAGAAATGGCCGACAAGCATATGAAAAGATGCTCGACATCATTAGTGATTAAGAAAATACAATTGAAAACCACTTTACACACACTAAGAGAGCTGTAATAAGAAAAACAGAAAATAACAAGTGTTCATGAGGGTGTGGAAAAATTGGAACCCTTGTACATTGCTGGGTTCCATTGATGGGAATGGAAAATGGTACAGCTGCTATGGAAACGTTTGGTGGTTCCTCAATAAGTGAAGCATAGAATTACCAGCAATTCCACTCCTGAGTATATACCCCGAAGACTTGAATCAAAACAGGGAATTGAACAGGTGCTTGTATATAAATGTCCATAGCATCACTATTCACAATTGCCAAAAGAAACCACCCAAATGTCCATTAACAGAAGAATGAACAAAATGTGGTATATATGTACTATTATTATTCAGCTGTAAAATGAAATGGAAGTACTCAAACGTGCTACATCCTGGAGGAAACTTGAAAACATCAAGCTAGGCGAAAGAAACCAGACACAAAAGGTCACATATGATTCCACTGATATGAAATATCCAGACTAGGCAAATCCATAGAGATAGAAAGCAGATTAGTGTTTTCCAGGATGGAGGGGTAATGGGGAGTGACTGCTTAATAAGTACAGGGTTTCCTTTGGGATGATGAAAATGGTGAATGTATTAAATGTCACAGAATTGTGTGTGTATATATATTTTAAAGATTTTATTGGGGAACTGGGGGAGGGGAACAGCATTGGGAAATCGGGGAAGGGGAACAGACAAGTAGCTGTCCTTTCGTTCTTCAGTCTAGTTGTGGAGGACGTCGCTTCACAGGCCCAAGTTGGCACCATCATTGCACTCTTCCCGGGCGAGGCAGATCAAACGCCAGCCACTGGATGGCCGCTCACAGCAGCTCTTGACAGCTCACACTGGCTGCCAGCTGCTCAAGCAGGCTGCCAGTCTCTCACGGTAGCTTATGGCAGCCCACTGCAGCTTCACTGCAGCCTACGCCGTCGCCGGCAACTCATAGCAGCCCAGCTCCAGGTCGAGTTGTTGTTCACCATCTTAGCTATAGAGGGCGAAGCATCACTGGCCCTAATGTAGGATCCGAACCAGTGCCCTGCTGCTCAGAGCTGCCATCCCAAGCCAACTCTTAACCAACGCGCCATTTGGCCAGCCCTGGAATTGTATATTTTAAAATGGTAAATTTTACGTTAAAGAAAAGGTTTTAAAAGATTTTATTACAAGAATTAGAGGATATGAGCAGGATCTGGTTTTATAATTTGCAAAACTATTATGTTCTAATGCGTCTCTGGAGCACATTCTTATATTCTACATCAAAAAAGTTTCTATAAAAGAAAGGTTAAATTTAATTTTTTAGTATGCTGGACATAAATTCTAAGGATTGTTAAATATAAAAGTATATTATGTATCTTTTCCAAACAAGAAATACCAAGGAAAAAAAGAAAATAATTGAACAAAGTGTTAAATTTGAACCAAGTGTTCCCAAGTGAAAAAAATCTCTTCATTATTCAAAGGTAACGCAAATATTTTTTGTAGGAAACTGAAAAACATTGATTAATGAAGCATTAGCATGGATACTATATAAAGCATAATAATACAAATTCCTATTAGTAATATTTCTTTCTTTTTTTAATTAAAGTTTATTGGAGTGACAATGCTTATTTCTTTTAATGAACAATATGTTTTCGCATTTTTATGTAGATAAGAGAACAGAACATTTTTATAACACTCTGGACATTCAGAGCAATAAACAGACTGGTCTTTGAAATAAACAAAAAAAGACATGGATGCTAAGATTAAACAAACTTCTGAAAATTTTGAGACACAGACACCTAAATAGAATAAACTGATTTCCTGAACTCTACACACATGTACAAGATAAGAATTTCAAGAGTATCGCTAGATATCATCTTAAGGCCATTCAGCAGACTCAAGAACTGGGTTCAAAAAGGCTTCTTGATTTCCAGTTTGGTCAAGTTCTCAAAGAGCATCTTACTGTCAGAGTATATGGCCCAGACCTCATAACAGAAAAGGCAGATCACGAGCCACAAAACAAAAGTAGTTAATCTTTTATTTTTCCCTCAATGTAAATCTAGACTAGTTTCATATTGACCTTATGCAACTATTTGACTTTGAGGATTTGAATGAAACAGTGTTATACTTGATCCTTCTAAAATGACATTTAAGAATAAATAACCACCTTAAGGTTTCCTGGGAATTTTACTTACCCTTTACCATACCCTCTTACCATACCCTCTTCCCTCTTCCACATTCCTATAGCATTATCACTAAACCACCACAAAAAGATACATTTTAAAAATAACAAAATTGACAAACGTGAATCCAATAAGAAAAATCGTTAGATATTTTAAGGTCTGTGGTTTTATAACTGTCTTACAATATTTGAATTTTAAAGGTCTTCTCTAGAAACTTTTAAATAAAAGTTTTATTGGAGAAAAATAGAACCACCACGTACATAGGGAAAAGAGCACAAGAATGAAACTGATACAGAACTGAAAAGTCACAATTATCCAATGTTGTTTGCAATTACTTTTCAATTATTTAAACAGCTCCCCTCAACTTGTTTTTTTAAATAGTCTTGCCAATTTTTCAGCTGAAACAGCATGAAGTTTTCAAAAAATTAAGAGCCTCAGGGAAGGGACCAGCTTTCAAGATAACAAAGGTGACACCAAGAGTCGCCTCCTAACAGGACCAATTCTACCTAAAAATTCCTTAAGAATAACTACCAAGTTTTGTGGAACAGTCTACATATCTCAGAGACCATCAGGGATGTTAGAACACTAATGTAGATGGACCAGTATAGAGAAGGGGCAAACACAATAGTGGCATTTCCTTGTTGGATGAGCTCACGCAAGGAAACACCAGAGGAGCTGAGAAAATATAGGTAATGGTTGCTCAAAAAGAAATTAGGAAGGCATTTGAAATACCACATATTGTTACACAAATGTGTACACTGACACAATTGGAAAGAAATAGGCCACTTTGTTTAAATAGCTGTTCACAGGACTTTATGAACTCAAGAAAATAATCAATAGCAGACATAACAGCCAAGTCTCCTCAGTTGACGGCTAGGACATAGGTATTCCTCCTAATGGGTTCAAGCAGTCAAGGAAATATATTGCTGCAAAAAGCATTAAAGCAGTTCTGATTTTTCAAAAACAACATTTTCGGCTTCTCGTCCAAGATCAATTCCCTTCAAAGCTTGAAGGAAAAACAAACAAGGAGGAAAAAAATTCCAAAAAAACAAAAACCCACAGAAACAAACAAACAAACAAACAAACAAACAAAAACACTGATGGTAAAGAGAAGCTTTTTACTCACATTATCAATTTGAAGAACAACACTTTTGCTATTTTCTAGGTCTGAACAATCCTAGGACATTCCCCTGAAAAGTAGATGTCCAGTGGCTACGAGAATTCTTATCTTCAAGCAATTTTGAAAGGAATAAGATCAGCACAATACAGAATTTGAAATTCCCAACTAGGGGATATGTGGAGAAAATGAGGGAGGACCTTCACATCTAGGGCTTTAGGAAGTTAGAATAATGATGATAGGAAAGGTTTATTTACCAACAAAGAGTTGGGGTGCTTGCAAAAAAACTTTGGTGGAGAAAATAGTAATGCTATATCCTAAAAAGCCTGTAACAATCTACAATTGGTCCAAGTTCAAGAAAAAACTGTCCAAACAACATTAAAGTCTAAAGGAAGTTGAAAACCAGTTGATGAATTTTTACTTGTGTAAAAATTTACAAAATATGTGGGTTTTGGTCTCTTTCGCGATGTTCATATTGTATTTATTTTTAATATGAAGAAAGGGTTGGATTTTTTTTCTCTCCCACTGTGTTTTTCTAGTACAAATGATCAGCAATTTTCTATTTCAGCTATTTTTATAAGTACCTGTTAGTTAGCACAGTAAACTCAGGGCTAAACCATATACACACATCCCATAGCCATAAATGGAACAATTAAGGATGAGTATATACAAGAAATTACATAAGCAACTGTCCTTCTACAAGAAAACTTGTTTCCAAATAAATTTTTTGAAAACATCCCTTTCAGTGTAACAGAACATTACTTAGTAAAATATCAATAGCTATGACAACTTATTTTTCTTGTCAACAGGTGAACAACCAAGTCCAGGGTGGTTTTCCTATTTGATAAATACATCCATAACTCTGTACAGTAAATAAAGTTTGCATGCAGTTTAAGTATCTTTAAATGACATCTTAGGCAAATGAACTTTTTCTTCATAATTAATGGTGTATAAGAGCCCCTGCCTCCCCCCTTTTTAATAGCCATAGGGACCTCTTGCCCAGTTCCAAAGAGGAATCATGAAGACCAGGTACTTTCTTAAAGAGTTTTCTGCTCATCATACTAAATAACATGCAAAGAGTTCAACAACATACTTCTTAAAGGTAAGAATTACTCTTTTAATGGGCATGTTAACCACTGAAAAAGTCAACTCAACTATTTCCATTACACTGCTTCATTTGGTCATCGGTAGTATAAAAGAAGTCAAATAATATAAGATCAACAGGTTAGTTTATCCACTGGCTACAACATGAGACACAAAATGCTCCAAGGCCAAAATTTTATGCAATATAGTTGTACTGGTTTGGGTTTTCTTTATCTCTTTCCATGTAGTCCCGGTCAATTAAGGATTCAATTCTCTTCTTAAGATCAGCAGGCTGTAAGAGAAGACAAATTTTCAGTGCAAATCTCATGCTCATTGGCTCAAGCCCTTTTACCAACACCCCATTAAAAAAAGAACAGTTTTGGCTCACTGATTTAATGTGTTTAATCTCCTTAGTTTTTTAAAGAGAAAGTATACTGAAAATAATTTAGGTTGAGACATGTTTTTATACTATAATATATGCTGTCACACCTTATCATATTATTGTACAATATTTTCTATTACTTTTCTATTTTATAGAGGTCTTCTAAAAACCAGCTATTTTCTGCACAAATACAAAAAACTAATTCATAACTTTACAAGAGAATACATAAGTTTAGGGAGACAGAATGCTATTTAATTTTGCCAACACAGTTTGAGAAGTTAGGTAGGCCCTACATTTGGGCAAAAGGTAGTTCTCAAAGTCAGGTTGCATTTTTACTAAATAAAAAATGTACTGCAGAAATCACTATTTACAAGACTACGACAACAAATGGTTTGATAAGGGAAGTATCATCTAATAATCCAGATCTTCATATTCCCGGTTTAACATAAGGTTTAACTGTTGTCTACTATAAACAATTTGTGGAGTTTCAAATCCCACTCGTGCTTTAAAAATCATCAAGAAAGTTTATATGTGTTATCACGATTGTATTCTTAGCTCCTGGGTGACAAAATTCCACAGCTTTTTGTATCTAGCCTATAAAAAATATAAACTTGCTTGCTAATCGAGTTGTTCACATTGTGTAGAATGGCCACTTGATCAAGAGGGTTAAAGAGGGAAAGGAGTCTGATGAAGCAGCCAAAATTTCAGACACAATATCACCCAGTAATTCCAAGGTTTGAAAATCAAAATGACTTTCTCTTCATTATGGTGAAAGACCTAGAATATCAGCACAGTATTTATTATAGTAATCCTCTTACCTTCTCCAGCATCAGTGATCTCTCTGGCTGGAGGTGAAATGGTTAGCAGGCAGAGCATGAGGGTAAGAGTGTGGTAATCAGGAGGCAGTGTTCGATTTGGCAAAGACAGAAAGCCTATCTAATTATCATTAACAGCTAATGAGCACATGATGTGCCAGATCCAGTGCTAAGTATTTACATAGATTATCTCATTTCAGCCTCACAATAACCCAACAAGGTAAATACTATTACCATCCCCATTTTACAAAAGAAAAAACAGGCCCAAAGCTCACGATGAAGCCAACAGCCAAGGGTCTAGCTAAACTCTACCATGTGTTTTTATCATCACAAAGGTTTGGGAATCTTCTAAAGCTTAGAAAACCGTGCAGTACACCATCACCTCTTTATTATTGGGCATTGACACTGGACCCTCCATTAAACAACCAATATTAGTTTGCCAAAACTATTGCTAATCTTTTCAAAAAGATGGCTAGTTATCTGTATAGAGTTTCTAATGGACACTTATATAAGCTAACGAAACAAAATATTTAAAATAACCAAATCTTTCAAATTCCAAGGTATTTCAAGGAGAAAAAAATAACAAAGAAGCTCAAAAGAAATATAGTGAATCAACTTGAAAATTTCAAAGACTCATTTAGCAGCTAAATTTTCAGGTATCAGAGCTTCTATATTAAATAAACAAATAAATAAATAAATACATAGCTTTTATAAATTGTTTTTCCCTTTTTTCCACAGCTGCCCACATATTCCAATAAAGGTTCTTTTGGAAATATATATATGAACATGATAAATTAAAACTTTTGTCTCTCCAAATGATCTTGAGGCTTTAGTCTATGTATGTAACATTTGTGTTTGAAAATCTAATATATTCTCTTTTATACATAACAAGCTCAATATGAAAACATGGAAGTACCTACCTTTACTGGAAATTTCAACTGGTTGTACACTTCAGAAACAAGGAGATTGTGGCTAAGTGTCTTTCTCATCTTCATAATTCGAACAATTGCAGCATCAATTTGATACTGTCTGTCTTGAAATACTCTTTCTGTAGTGCTTGCTTGTTCCTCAACCTAACAAAGAAGTTTTAAACTTAGGAATTGTATCTGAAATGAAACTTGATTAATTATACCAATTGTATATTTTAGGGACATAACAGCTAATGCTTTAAATATGCCCAATTATTTAAAAGAACCTAATAAATATAGGAAATGACAGAATAAACCCTACAAACATAACTCCTTTCTGTCCTAATTATATAGCCCTGTACCTATGAAGTAATGCCAATATTAGGTCATAGAAAAATATCATCTTTGAGTTGCTTTTCTAGAAGTAGAGACCAGCTGATGCAGAATTTATCATTTTCTTTACTCTGTCCTTGAAATTTTCTACATAAGCCACAAGGGGTTATTGACAAGATGTCTGTATGATATTAGCTTCTCTGTAAAAATGATTGACTCTAACATCTGACTCAAGTATGGTACTAACTAGCTAAGATACCAGATTAAACTTTAAAAAAAATGTTGGTAATATATAAATCTGAAATACATACTATAAGTGCTTATATTTGTTCAAGACTGAGAGAAATTTAGGTGTTTAGGAGTCAGTTTACCAATTTTAATGCTGAAGAAAAACTGTTCATCTTTGGCACCTAAATCAAAAGAATAGTTTGGGCTTTTTGCAGTCAGTTTATTTGTTACCAAATAACTATTTTAAAAGGACACAGTAATCTTTTAAGGGAATATCATGCCTTTGATGTGAATGTGAACAAGACAGGAACTTGTTTAAGATACTGACCTTTGTCCCATATTAAAACTTTCTCAAGCCCTGCATTAAACCTATTGGAACTGAAATTAATTGGTTTTAAGAAATGCTGTCGTTGTTGGTTTTCTTAGTAAAAGTCTCTTACAAATTCAAAAGGCAAAAACCAACAAAATACTCACTGTTAAAGAAATACTAATTCATTCAGATTTTTCATCAAGCAAGTTGGAAAAAATTTTAAAAAGAAAATATCTTTGATGCTGGCGAGGGCACCATTAAGACAGGCAGTCATGCTGCTAGACAGAAAGTAAATTGGTCCAGCTTTTCTGGAACACAATATGGCATAATGTATTAAGACTCTTAAAATGTTCATACTCTTTGACCCAAAAGATCTATTGGGTTGTCAGAAAAGTCATGACATATTTTTCTATGTTTTTCGTTGCAAAAATGTGTCATGACTTTTCCAACAACCCAATACTTCCACAAATTTATCACAGGGAAGGCTCAGAGAGATTAAGATTTAGGTACAAAGAGGCTTCTTGCAGTTTTATTGATAATACTAAAAAGTTATTGATTTAATTGCCCAATAACGGACACTGGTTGAATAAATTATAATAGCCATGTAAAAGAATATTATGTGGTCATCTGCCACTTTATCAACATATTAATGGTATGGAAAAAGTCTAAAGACTTAATGTTAAACAAAAAAAGCAGTACATAAAACTGTTGAGTATCAGGCCCAATTGTGTGTACCTCCCCTCCACATAAAAATGCAAAATCAAATACTGAAATACATTAAACTAGATATAGGCACAGAATATGTTAATGTTAGTGATAGTATTATAGGCAGAAAATCTTTATAATTTTTATATTATGAACACATATAATTCCAGTGTATTAGGAAAAGGAGAATGCAAAAGAAATACCGTTTCTTTCATCTGGATTTGATTGATCTTTATCCTGAAAAGTTTGTGTTTGAAATCATCATTACAAATGAACTTGTCACCATCTTCAATATCTTTGCCCTTTGGATTTTTTGCCAGAACTCTAGCTTTGCCACAGGCCAAAGACTGCAGTGTTCTCCTTAACTCGCCATCCTCTGAAGAAGAAATAGTGACTTAGTTATTTGTTACTAGCTCATCAACAAGAACAGCTACATTCAAACTTGATCTAGCTTCAACCCTATTCCTCTATTGAAACTGTTTCCTTTTTTCCCCAAGGTAGTGAACCACTTCCTCTTTGTTCTATCCAACTGCATTTTTTCTGAGTCATCCTCTAAAAGACTTGAATTATCATTCTATGTGGATAACTACCAAATCTTCAGAAATGACATCTCACTTCTTTCCAGTCCCATTTAAAAAACACCTTCACCTGGCTGTTTTTACCATCATCAACTCCAGTATGTTCAAAATTTTACTCACCATTTTCCCCATAAAACTATCCTCTTTCTGTTAGTCATGAAGCTACCAGCCTACTCAGGTGAGATACCCGGAAATCACCTTTACCTCTTCCTTCTCCTTCATCCTCCACATACCTAGTAAGTTGTTGCTTCCTAAGAGTTGCCTCTTCTCTGTTCTCATTGGCTTCATTCTAGTCTAAGCCCCTTATTACTTTATCCTGAATTACCCCCACTAACTTCTGGCCTGGAACTTCTTCATCCTCTAAGCTGCCCTATTGTCTGCTGAATCCAGTTAAGTTGTTCAAGTAAGTCACTTCCATTATGTCACACACTTGAGACTCTACAATGTAGGTTTCATCTGCTAGATTTGTAAGGCTCTCCATGATCAGGCTCTACCCATCTTACCTTACCTATCTAATTTTTATCTCCGTATTCCATGCTGCAGTTAAACTATTCATGACTCCTACCCACACTGTGTTCATTCCAACCTTCAAGCCTTTTCTCACAATTATTTCCCCTTGCAGCGTATGCCTTCTTCCTAGCTAAAACTTGAAGGCCCAGCTCAAGTCCCACCCCTTTCATGAAGGCTTTCCCAGTTGTGCCAGTGCAGTGATCTTTTGCTTAGCTAAATTCCTAACACACTCCTAGTCAGCACCACAGATTGATACTTAGTGGTTGTGAAATTATTTCAAATGTCATTCCCCCTTTCCCAGTGGTTACATTGTGAGTGCTGAGGAGAGGGATTATTCCTTTATATCCCGCCAAAGCTCTTAACCTAATGGAGTGACATAGTAGACACTGAATAACGCTTGCTAATCGACTGATTCAACACAAACCTATTCCAGTAGCCTGCTTGATCTCTTCTAAACTGAACTCTTCTCCCTCATTAAACATTAGCAGCACCAGTGTTTGAAAAAGAGACACCTGAAGTTCTTTTTTACCCTGTTGGAGAAACAGCAGTATTTAGCAATCATTAAAAAATAACACAGGAAAAATTAATCAAATAACTAATCTCTTACAGGAAAACACACTTTTCAATTAGTGGATTTAGAAACACAGAATAACATTATGCAGAAAAGCCAGTATGTTCACTGTATGTAGGGCTTAGGTGTGATCCTACCTAAAACAGAAGGAAGGATTGGATGACCTTTCTACAGGTCTTTTTTAAACCTTTATAATTAAAACTGAACAACAAAGTAATGAAAATTAATAACTCAGCCTTATGTATCATTACAGATGTTTATTACAAGCAGCACAAAATCACTATTTCAAATACATTTGACATTTTTTATTCAGGTAAGTCATGAAATGCTGCAGGAATATTTTGAAATTAGATGAGAACTGTTCCCCTTAACACCCACTCTATTCTCTAGCCCCCAGCAAGAAATGAAATTTCCTGTTAAGAAGTGGCAGTGTGAATTCTGCATCTACAAGTGGGGAAAGGGTGGGAGAAAGGGTTTTCGGTTTGCAGCAGGGCTAACTAAATCAACTATAGAAAAGACCCATTCTTATAATATAATATACACAATCTTGTGGCAAGCTAACACTGTCATGCATTATTTAGGATAAATTTATAAAAACGTTAAGAGGGATGACCTCAATATCAAAGTTAAAGGAAAAACTAAGTTTGGGGACTACCCACTTACCTCTTTAAATTCGGCCTTTAGCACACAGTGTCCTAGGGTCGACTGCCACTGAAGTTTCCTGCCACTATGTTTGCCTAGGTAAAATGTCTTGAAAATCTCCTGAAGTTTTACCATCTACAGTAAATAAAATAAATCTTTATTTAAGCTCTGCATCCAATATCACATTAACTACTCTTTATATTTACCTCATGTATAATAATTTCTGGATACTTTTAGTTTTTTAACTTTATTGGGGAACAGTATGTTTTTCCCAGGACCTATCAGGTCCAAGTCAAGTTGCTGTCCTTCAATCTTAGTTGTGGAGGGCACAGCTCAGCTGAGTCCAATGACGTTTTCAATCTAGTTACGGGGGGGGGGTGCAGCCCACTATCTCATGCAGGAGTTGAACCGGCAACCTTGTTGTTAAGAGCACATGCTCTAACCAACTGAGCCACTGCCCGCCCCCAATTTCTGGATGTTTTCAAGACTATCGAGTAGGTCCACTGATCACTGATGTAAGGTAATGATCTCCCAACTACCAAATCTAATGGTATTTATCAGTCTTCACACTCTTTGCTCTCTCTGCAACATTTAATCATCCCGTCTTTTGAAACATTCACCTCCAATGCCTTTTGAGCCCTTGCACCATGCTGGTTTATCTCACTACTGCTTCTTCATCGGCTTCCTTCACAAGTTCCTCTTCCCACCACCAAAGGGGACCCCTTTCCAAAGTTCTGCCTTAGACTTTTTCTTCCTGTTTCTACGTTCTCCCTCTTAATGAGAGAGATCTACTCCCTGGGTGTCCACAGTTATCTAGATGGAGGATTCTCAGTACCTATCTCTCTAGCCTTAACCCTTTTTCTAAGCTTTGGTCCTGAGTTAGACAGTTCCCCAGGAGTTAGGATGGATTAACTCAAGCACCCATCACTCAGCAATCCAACCCCTAGGTGACATATGAGCAAGAATTTTTGAGAGTGGTGAGTATATCTGGGGAACTGAAAGAAGAGTCAGGGAAATTGACTTGGCATCAATAGCTATGTGCTAATGATACTGGTATCAGAGTAATATAAACAGAAGAGTAAAATATTAAAACAGTTGGCATTTGTTGTTGGTGTGCTTACTAACCCAAACTTTTAAAAAGCATCTATTTTTTAGTGGCAAGCAAAATAGAAGTGTCATGTATTTCTATGTTTATAACTCAAGTCCTAAACAGCATTCTTACCTCTGGTGGTAAATGGACTTCCATAGGCACATATGTTGGCCAATAACCCATTGTCAGAATATTCACAGTTAATTCAATATTCCCAGGTACGTTCTGATTCTGCATATACTACAATAAGATGAAACACACATCCTGAGATCTTCAAACTAAAAGTGCATACCTTTCATGTCAAAATAATGACCCATTCAAAAAGTTCCCCATTATAAAATTACATGCAAATACTGACGATCTCTAAAGTAAAAGACAACTATTAAAAGAACTATAAATGAAGCCTATATTAAATACACTGGAAAAGTGCATTGGTTAACATTTTTGTTACAATGGCACATGAGGATTATGTGACCTCATTACAGGTGTTATCAACTTAAGTAATTTCTCACATTCAGCTGGGCTGTTATGGAATCTCTTGTCCATTCTTTCCCCCATACCACCTGCAGCCCCCACCTTTGGAGACCCCTATGTGGCTTGGAACACCTTGCAGCAACCCCCAATCCTCACCCCACCAGCCAGCCCAAGTCTCCGGTTTTTCACTTGCTCCACTGCCTGTTTGCAGGGGGTGACCTGAAGTGGGGAAGGAAGAAAAAGGGGAAAGGGCAAAGCAGATAAACCCTATTCTGTAGCTACTATAGGACCCATGATCCTATTGACCCTGATCTCTCTGTTGAGTCTTCCACTCTCATTTCCCACCATAGCAATATAGCGGTAAAGAAGTCAGTATTAAAACCCTGAGAGGAAAATCTGACTTGCCATCTCTATATCCATGTTCTTAAATATTTCAAAATCACCTTCTACCAACATCTGCAAAGCTGTGGATCTAGCTTTTCATTCCCAATGTCCTCAGAAGCCTTACACAACCACTCCTTTCACCTCTCCTCCCTTCCCATTGCCGCCTTTGAACATGCAAATCCACAGTGATTATATGCTGCAGAAAGCCCTGTTCTCACTATTGAGCTACATACAGCTCTTCATGTCCTGGCTTCAGTTCAAAACATTTTATTTCTAAATTTGGGTTACATTGGGTGTACATTGAGAATTATGAAGTAGGTCAAATACACTTACATTTCATTGGTGAATTTTTCTCTACTGTGAATATCATCTAAGTTGCTATAAAATATTTACAACAAAATCATGTTTCTATTTATCCTCTTCAGTACAAACCACAGCAAAGAGATAACTAAATATATTTAACCTCAAGGAATTACGTAAGAGTTCAACTTATTTTTACCTGTTTGAACTGAATCATGATGTCTTTAGAAAGTTCCATGTCTTTAAACATTCCTTCAAGTTTGCTGGTGAAAGCAGCTCCACATTCTATTAAAGATGTTTACAATATTTTATAATATTTCAAAGTGATTAAAAACAAAGAATTTAAAATTGAAAACATGAAATGCAAAACTTACTTTACCATGAAATATGATCTGTAATTATTCATAAGAATAAAAAAAATCTTTACCCCAAAGTGTATGCCCCACTAATTGAGAGTCAAACTCTTTAATCCTATCGTAACCTTATCTACTATTTAGGCATACAATAAATGAGAAATTTTTATGTAAGTAATGAAAACAAGAACAATGTTTTATTTTTAATAAATTACAACAGCTCTGGATCTGTACAATAGGTTGGAAACCTATGACCTTACTCAATTTACGTTTTCATCATATGTGCATAGAACAATTGACAAAAGAGTAAAAATGCGGCTGACATTTTCTCTCAGAAATCAAAAAAGAAAGGGAACAGAAAGAATGACAAGCATACCATGTTTAAGTTTGGACAGCATTGATTTTTCAGCATCTACAGATGCACTCTTCCCAACTAACAGGCGCTTGGCTAAATCTTTCTTGTAGAAGGCCTCAAAAACATCCTTGCCTATGTTAAATAATAAAACACAACTCATAATATTCCAATAAAAATTCTGACAAAATTGCTTCACTGTGTTTAATAAATCACACCATTACTCCAAGTTATTTAAATTTATACATTTTATCAAAGTTTGTTAAATGCAAGAAATATCAGAGGTAAACTTTTGCATCAGACATTTCTAAAGTTCTTTGCTATAGAGAATTGTAAAAAGAGAATACTGCATTAACTTTTTTTAGAAAAGCTTTAGTCAATCAGTAGCTTTATCATCAATACCTAGAGATTAAAACAAATAACAAAATCCAAGGCCATAATAGTGGAAAAGTCAAAACACAAGGCAATTAAATAACATTCCTCAAGTACCCCCAATGAATTAAATGCAAGGAGTATAATAGAATTTAAAATATCTAACTCCCAAATAACACTCCCTGCAGATTGATTATAATTGCTAATTTCTCTGTTGAGTACTTTGTTTTAATAGAAAAATATTAAAACAAAAATAAACTTACCATAGATAAATCTAAATATGATCATAATTTTATCCAACATCTTTTCAAGTTCCTCATCTGTAGCTTCTTTGTTGCCAGCACGAAGCTTTGAATCTACATACTTAGCTAAAATGAGGGGAAGGTTTGTTGTTTAGTGATCATGGGTATCTATGATGTACTAAGCATTACACATACCCAAACAGGAGTATGATATACTGTTTTTTTCAGTGCTTCAGAGTTATACATGCATTTTTTAAAGTCTCCAATGTCAGGCAGATCAAGTGACTTGTTCAGTGTCACAGAGCTAATAAATACCAGAGCCTGAACTCAAACCCAAGTCTTCTGGCTCCAGATCTAATGTACTTTCCACTAGAGTGTCCATTTTACAATGATGGTCAGCAATCTTTACAGAGTTGGAGGCAAAATCTGCAAAAATTTTAAGGATAAATAGTAGACCAATGAAATTTCACCCTTTTGCAGAAGACCCTAGACCTTCTCAGGGTACCTCTTCTTCTGACATTAAGGAGTACTTGGATGGGAAAACTTGAGAAGCACTACAGTATACCACACCCTTACACTAAATGAGCCCAGATTATTAGGTTTGTTTTTGTCCTGGACATATTTCCTCTCTCACTGGCAACTGTACTTTCCATTACCCTTTCTTGTAGCCCTAAGTGTAGACCTCTAAAAACAGCACCCGACCCCACCTCTAAATTGCTGTAGGCTTATAAAACTGATCTCAAGTTTATTATAAATAAAAGGAAATAGGGTCCAATGTACTGTTTTACAATGAAAGAACATAATGCTTGACAAGTGGGCTTTGAGCCGTTCTTGAGCTTGAAGGACTTACTCCTTATATCCAGGTTCTTAGAAACTACCAGCTAAGCAACCTCAAATAAATCAGGGGTTAATATATTACAACCTTGTCAAAATTTCAGGTTAACTGAAATTTTATGAATAAAAGAACATAACTGGAAAAAGGGACTAGAAAAATACCTATGAGTTCAGCAGGTTTGTTTGGTCTTTTGTTAATGAATGTTTCAAATGCTTCTTTCATGGCGTTGATAAATTTTTCATTCTTCAGAAAACAGATATCAATTATATGGTCAACTTTATCTTTAAAATCCAGTAATTCTTGAACCATTGTTTTATCTTTTTCAGGATTAATTACAATAGTGCTTCCAAATGCCTAAAAAAAAAAAATACCACTTTTTACTAGAACTTAATTATCAATGATAAAAACAATCCCCAAATCATATTTTAAGTAGGTATACATATTTTTATATTTCAAAAATTAAAGTAAAGCTGTTTTTGAAATCAGGAAAAGAAAAAAATAAAGTGATAAAACACCCAGACTGATACTATTCATCTATAATCATGAAATAAGGAATGACCACTAGGTATATAATATTATTTTGGGGCATTATTATACCGTCAGTCTCTAGGCTCTTTTCCCTACTTTTAAAGAAATCAGCTTTGAATTTTTTAAAAAAATGACAATATGGCTTCAGTGTAAGATTTAAGAAAGGAAAGGAATTTTGGATCCAAAAAAAGTCCCCTTTGTTTTTCCACATTCACTGCTACAAATATTGGAGCTAGAAATCACGACAGACATCAAGAAGGTAACTGTTTTAATGCTGATTTGCTATACAGCTATTATTGTCAGGTTGACTGCTCTCAAAACTCCCATTAAAAAAAATGGATCTAGCAAGTCAGAAATTTTCGCTGATGTGTAACTCTGGGTGTACAGATTATAAGCCATGAGAGAGAAAAAACAAATCCCAGGTTAATTGGTAATACCTTAATATATTCAATCCACTGTTGCAAGAGAACCTGAACTCCACCTCGAACTCTACTGAAAAGCTGATACAGGAGAGATAAATCTTGAATTCGGTTTTCATCAAGAAGGTTATTTAAACCTGAATTTTGAAACATTTTGGTATTAAAAAAGTGAGCAAAGATGTCAGATATTTTAATGAAAATTAAGTTAAAGTATTATTGCAATATTGGTCTGAACTATGACTCATCTGTGAATTTTAATACAGTGATTTGCTTTGAATTAAACCCAAATAGACAATCACCTTTCCAAGTGAAAATTCTATATAGGGAAATTTAGCCTACATAAAAATGAAAATAATTGTGTAATGGTTTGTACTATTTAGCAAGGTAGGCCAGATGTATAAACAATTTTTAAACACTGGTTTACATAAAATATACATTATAATAAATACCTTATATGTACAATAGCCTTCAGTGTACATAGCTATATTTCAGACTACTGAGTATGGCCTGTGGTATATCAAAACCATACATTATGGTTAAGAGCTCGCTCAAGAGTTTGAGCTCTGAGCAACAGCGGTTCGATTCCTGGCCCGAGCTGAGTTGCCGCTGAGCTGCCAACAGGTGGCAGGATGGCTCAGCTAAAATAAACCAACACAAACAAAAAAACAAAACAAAAAAACCCCTACACATTAATAAGCCAAGTTTAAATGAGGTTCTAATGTATTTGATTTTCAGAATGAAATAATAGTATAACTACATTAAAATTCTAAAATATATCCATTTTATAAAAAAGAAAAGATGGCTGGAGAGAAAGATAAGGCTTTTGTCTATTTGTGGCACTGTCAAAGTAAACGCAGGGCATACTCTAAGATCACTTACAAGTGTGCTCAGTTTTATATGCTATGAACAAAAGCATTTCAGTGCAAAAAGGAATGCCTTTCCTTACTGTATTCTCACCAAGTCAGTCACAAATCCCCAAGTTCCCAGTTTCTTTATTGGTGTTGGTGGAGCCCTCTCACCTTAGCTCCCATTTCTTTAAGGAAAGGAGCACCTCTTGGAATTTTACTGTGATAAGTAGGGAAAAAGGACTGTGTCCATCCTCAGAAATGTAGCCACCATATGCTATCAAGCTTTTAAAAGGGTAATTTTCAAATCTGTTTCTAATTGTCTGCTGCTACCATTTTAAAGGTAATCTGATTTATAAAGTGCCAATTACCTTTCTGAAGAATTGCTGTTAAGTGTTCACCTAGAAGTTGTTTCTCTACAGTAGCAATTAATGACTTCCTACAAGGAGAAAAAGTTTAGAATTATTGAGGTTTGACTTTGCTGAAAATTTAAAGCCTTTTCTTGGGGGGGGGATCAAATAGCTCGTTTTATGTTCATTTTAATATTTCTTTCCTATGTATAAATTTATCAGTGCTCAGAGTTACTCTACTTTATGCCTAAAAGAAAAAGAGCATATTTCAGAATTTGATTTACATCATGAAATAAATATATCCAAGGTCTTCTGTAGCTGGCTTTTTCCAAGTTTCTCTGCTTTTATTAGGAAGGTAAAGAAGTTATCTATGCTGCTTTCAGGAACTTCTTGCTTGGTAATATTTAGGGAAGCACAGAAATAGTTTGTCCTATGAATATCCATTGAATTTTAATCGGCCTGAAAATTTCAAAGATCACATCAGCTTCAAACACTATTTTTTAAAATTACATCCTAAACACATACACGCAACCCATAATCAAATCCTAGATCAAATCTAATTAACTCGGGAAAATAACAACTTGAAGTTTGCATTATGAAAACAATTGTCAAAATCTCAAATCACACATGAAAATAGTTACTAACATGTTTGGGGACGCCCAAAGTGCCTTAAACGATTGAACAACACAGGTTAAGGCTATTAGGCAGAGCATATAATACTTACTGGGTGGTCTGATCTAAGTAAGTAATAAGTCTGTCTGTTTCTTCTTCTAGACGTTTGTTAACATGATGAAGATATTCAGGAACCTACAAAGATAGTTTTTTTATATTATTGTTTTCCTCCCATAAATCATTCAGAAAATGTCAAGTCCAAAAGATTCTGGGAGCAGCCCTGTCAAATGTAACAGGGTTGAATCATATGTAAAATTACAGGCAGAGTTTATGATCCAGAATTCTGGCCATTAAGAACAGTGAAAGAAAGGAGCACCTAAGTGAGAGAAAATCATCACAACGTTGCGAAGATAAATTCAAAGAGAAGCTTATGTTCTATAAAGTCTATTGTGAGACACAGTGGACTTAATCATGGTTTTTAAATACCTCTCTTTCCTGCATTAATTTTTGGCCTTCGGCTGCATAAAGCCGGTTAGTTTCTTCCAAAAATCGTTGTTCAAAAGAATCCTGATAAATCTGGGAGGGGGAAACAAAATAAAGAAGTTAATTTATTCATTAAATATTTATTAAATGCCCTCTAAGAGAACAGCACTATGAATCTGGTTTTTAAACATCAAACTATGGATAGCCATCAACTCTGTATTAAGTGAAGTAGTTAACTTACTTGCAAATCAGAAAGCATGCTTAAAAGGCTTCGGAGTAAACTTCTATCAATTGCTTCACCATTTCTCTCCCTCTCAATCAAGAGAAGAATGCCATCAATTGTCTTATTCTGGACTTTCTGATCACTTATAATATGAGCCCTAAATAACTCCAGTCCCATGTCCCTAAAATAAAAAATATATATAATCTAAATTAATTGACAACAATACCACTCTGGAGAGGCTTAACTTCTCACTACATGTTAATTAGGGCTCCAGGCTTTGAAGCAGCAATTGTAAAAGGATAAAATCCCTCCATTTAATTTTAAATTACGTTAAATTAAAGCACACAGGAAACTCATTTTTTCTTTAATGAGAACTGAAGCTAAATTCCTGTCTTCCTCTGTAACTAAATTTTGTTTATTATCTCCTTTGGTGGATTTCTTCCTTGGTCAAATCAAGAGGCAAAATTACGACAGTTCAAAGTTAAAAAATGGTCTTCACTGTACTAGTAATGAAGGCTTAATTGGTCATCTGTCATCTGGCTTTAGTACTCAAAAATCAGTGAACTCTGATAATTACAGTAGGTAAATGGTAGGAAGAGCTCATGATATTGGGTCTTCAGGAAAGTCACGAGGCATTTTTGCATTGAAAAACACAGAAAAATACGTCATGACTTTTCCAACAACCCAATACTATTCTATTTTCATGTATACATGGAATTTTCCATAATACTGTTAAAAGATAATGTGCGAACTCTTGATCAGCAACAAAATGATGCACACTCAGATAGTCTACAGCAAACCTAAATTCCCTTAGCTAACAAAAAAACTTCATAAATTATTATAAGCTCAGGGAATGTTAGCTATAGCCAATATTAGAAAAGGTAAAACGTTAATCAAGAAGTTAAAACTGCTGTAAATACAAGTCTAGAAGCCAAATTTGAGTTTTTATGAGAATATTCACAGTATCACTTACTCTCTTCAATTAGTATAATTAAGATTTAATTATGATTTGTAACAAATCTTTTCATAATTTTTTTTCTGGCATCCTTACCAAATGGAGGGTAGCATTGAATTTTGAAGAACGTAAGTTCTATCCAGAAACAAAAAAATGCTCCTGATCATGATCTGCCAATGAAAAAAAAAAAAAGAAATCAAACATTTTTATACTTTGTGAAGCTGAAATGCTTGCTTTTGATAAAAAAATTGCAGGATTCGCTTGAATATGTACTAAACTAGTAGGATCAAACACAAAGATAAACAGATCTACCTGAGAATATGCCCATACCATTTTTATTAAACTATTCTATTGTTTTAATCCTTGCTGCAGATTCCAGAAAAGGGACACTTTAAATGGTCCTATGACTTCTTTGCAACTTGAGAAGTAACTGAAAACATAAACAGGAATTGGGGGACACACATACAATTCTCCCTCAGCGACAGTACTCAGGGTGAAACTGCCTTAAATTGTACGTGTGGGGTTTTGGGCAGGAGGGTAGATTTTAAGATTTTTAATTTGCAGAACATAAAGTATAAAATAATACCAGATTACTGAGAAAGGAAAAGGTGTGATGTGAATAAGCTAAAATACAGGGCCATCAGGCACCTTCACAGGTAATCAAATAGTGAGTGGGATGATATCCATCAAGACAGAGACAAAATGTAATGTTTTTAATGAGGTAAATACTTCTTGATTAAGTGTGACAAAAATAAAAATGATCCTAAGGTGCAACTCATTCCAAAATGCTTGTTTACTTATAATTTGCAATTTTAAAATAGAAAGCACAACCGAAATTACTTTCCAATTCAGAACAAGAGCAGATATTGAGGCAGGTCCCTATTGCAAGTTTTCAAAGCTAATGTTCCTGTATTTGAAGAAATTTATTTTTTAACTACAATATTTATCTGAAATGTAATACTTTTTCCAGTTTACCATTTGTCTACAGTGGTTCTGCCAGCATCTATCGATCTTCTTTAGAAAAAGAACACTATCCAAAGAATCCATGAGATGTATGTCAAGGATATTTTAAAGTACTTAGTACAAGTAATATATGTGATGTGAGAGCATATATGTCTTAAATATGGAATATTCTACATACTAAATGAAACTTAATAGCACTTAATTACAGAACAAAATGCTATTTCTTAAAGTACAGAGACAATGTAGATCCCACTAAAAATACCTTTAAAAACGAGACTTTAACATAACTGAACACTGTGTTTTCAGTTTATGATTTCCCTTAGATGATTATCTTTCCTCAAATGGAAATTTGTTAGGACAAAAAGGTTAAAGATGTAAGGACATCTTATTTACACTAGTACCACAATGTAGATTTAGACCCTATTTAAGCTGAAAAATAAAAAAATTATTTTTCTTTCTCTGGAAGCAAAATGAACAAAAATAACAAATCTATAAAACACAGGTATTCCATTTCAAGCTGGATTAAATAGTAAGGGATAGAGGGGAAGGAGAAGATAAAAATACAAGATGTTTTGTTTTTAAAAGGATATTCTCTGAACTGATGAATTTGTGCTTTGATGTGATCTTCACAAATCTGTCTCAGCTGTTTGTATAAGTTTGCAGAAATCTTGTAAGAACAGAGATTTTCTACAGCCTGCAAGATTAAACACATACTTGCTTAAGGAAAGAACGGAGAGGTTCTCAATGATTTACATCAAATTCTTATTAGTTTGATATTTCTGCAATGCCAGCCTATTAAAAAGAGTTATGCATCCATTTAAAACACAAAGTAAAACACAAAATTATCAATGTGGGTGGTGAACATTTTCATAGCCAATGTACTGTATCAAAAAACCCCCACAAGAAATGCCCATCGGTAGACGACTGGATTAACAAACTGTGGTACATTTATACAATGGAGTATTACTCCGCTATAAAGAAGAATGGAATCATACCATTTGGGACGATATGGATGGACTTAGAGACTATTATGTTAAGTGAAATAAGTCAGTCGGAGAAAGACAAATACCATATGATTTCACTTATATGTGGA